AAGGGTTAGGTTTAGGTTTAGGGTTAGCGTTAGGTTTAGCGTTAGGTTAAGGGTTAGGTTTAGGTTTAGGGTTAGGTTAAGGGTTAGGGTTAGGGTTAGGGTTAGGTTTAGGGTTAGGTTTGGGGGGGTTAAGGTATGGTTTTCGCTTTAATTTTAAATTTACCGCTCACAGCGGATGTTTTCATCGCGCTGTGATGACGTCACGTACGCGCTTTCGTCGAGCGCGCTTTAGTCCACCGCGGTTTTGTGGTGGAACCAGTAAGTCAATGTCAATAAGTCAATAGTTGGATAAATAAATAAATGGATAAATAGATAGATGGATGGATGGATGGATAAGTGGATAAATAAATAAGTAAGCAAATAAATAAACAAATAAGTAAACAAATAAGTATAAGTAAATAATAAATCATGTGTAATGTGGCTAAAGGGTGTCAGGGAAGCTTTTATGCTCTAAAAGCAAACCAGGTCATGGTTGTCCCAAAGGTGCTTTTTCAAGAGGCAGCTACTGGACTCTCTGGTTTTTCTTTGAAGATGCTTCTCATCCAAGAAAGAAGCTTCTTCAGTTGCCTCTTGAAAAATCACCTTTGGGACAACCCTGACCTGGATGCCTGAGAATCTCCTTAGACATTCGAACAGCAAAGTTTCCTAACTTCTAACTTGCCTTATTAAAATTTGCATAATCTGAACACTTAACACGGGCATCTCATTAGATCCTTGAGATCGCTTTCCAAAGGAATAGAAGGTAGGACGGGATTTGTGATAAGGGTAAAGATCCCGTAGTGGTACTGCGGAAAGCAGTGGTGTGCTAACCATTAAGCAGACTAAGCAGTGCTTAGGGCACCAGGCTCAAAGGGGACACCACAAAGTTGAGAAAGAAAGAAAAACCAATGAAGATTTGTACACTATGTACAAAGGAGGGGGCACCAAAATTTGTCAGTGCTTAGGGCACCCGTGAGCCTTAATCCGCCACAGAAGGAAAACCATTATAGTTCAAGGAGTTTAGTGACAAGTTTTGATTTCTCCTTCATATTAAGAACATTTTTAGCAAGGGAACCAAAAAAGAAAAGCTCTCTGCCTATGTTCAGGGACACATCGAGAGCCTAGGTTTGGATTGAGCTCTTCACCATCGATGAGGCTGCCCTGAGTTAAGACAAAGGACTCCAGCCGCGCAGGTCGGTTGGCCGGGGCGCCAAGAAGCAGAGAAAGGGCGCAATTTCCTCCGTCTGCTCCGAGCCACAGCGGCAGAAGCGGCGGCGATCGAGCCTAATCTCCGGGCGGAGCGGGGAAAGGGGCTGGAAGAGGAGGGACGGCGGGACGAGGCTGGGCTCCCTTGTTGCCAGGCTGGTGTGTGCCAAGGTAAAGGCGCCACCTCTGGCGCTCAAACCGCAGCCGGCCCGCCTCCCCTCGCCTTCTCTCTCTCTCCCTCTCCCTTCCCGAGAGAGAAGGCCGGGCTTCCCAACCGCGGCCTCCAGACCGCTCCAGCCAACCGATCAGGCGACGCGTCCTGGGCGGCGAGCCGGGCGGGCGAGTCGCGATGCAAAAGCGCGACAGCGGAGCCGGCGGCTTCGGCGTCAGGCAAGCCTGTGGCAGCCTCTGTCCCAACAGGGTGCAAGATTTGGCCGGCAGGCTGGGCAAAAAGACGTGCAAAGTAGACAGAAAGGTGCGTTGTTGGACACAGACCTCGCGAACGGCAGAAACGTCTCTGGCTCGCTCGCTCACTCCCTCTGAAGGACGGGAGACAGCGTCGCCCAGCGGTTAAACCAAGGGCATGTTTTGGACCACACAACAAAAAACCCCGAGGATTTCTCACTGGAAGATAGGAACCGATAAGGAAGCGAGCATCTCTGAGTATGTGCAGAGTTACTTGCCTTCTCCAGTCATTTGATATGAGAGGAAAATGTCAAAGCGAGAAATTCAAGCTCCAGAGCCTTCTGTTATTTTACATGTATATACACATATACATCTATGTCTATACGTCTCTCTCTCTCTTTCTCTCTCTCATCTATCTATCTATCTATCTATCTATCTATCTATCTATCTATCTATCTATCTATCTATCTATCTATCTATCTATCTATCTATCT